AAACATAATTCAGTAAGGCATTGAGAATGGTCTTATGAGTCATCTGCAAAACCATTTATTTTCTTCAAAATTCGCTCCAGCACTAATATCATTCATCTTATTGTGAACACTGAACAGGGTAAGATAATCAATATAGCATCAGTAGTTGGCCTGGTTGGCAATTTTGGGCAAGCTAACTATAGTGCAGCAAAGGCTGGTGTTATTGGCCTGACAAAAACTGTGGCCAAGGAATATGCAAGTAGAAATATTAATGTATGTTGTTGAGACATGCTAAACTTTATGTTACATTAGTTAATCTCTGTTTTAATCTAACAAGTCCTCCTGAATAACAGGTGAATGCTGTTGCCCCTGGGTTCATTGCATCTGATATGACTGCTAAGCTAGGGGATGACATCGAGAAAAAGATTTTGGGGCAAGTCCCACTAGGTCAGATCTCTCCCCACATATATAGCTACTATCTCAGGATAAATTGTTGTTGTTATCATAAGTCATGCTTCAGTTGACAAAGGGAAAATGAGATGGCGTACACGGAGTTGTTCCAAGTCATCCTCTCTAGAGTCCAATTAAAGGTCTTGGGATTTTATAAATGGTTTTATGAGCTTGAGCACTTCTGCAGGGCGAGAGATGCATAAAACAGCACCCAGGAGCAGAGCTAGGTATCAGTAAGGGGGTTCAATTGAATCCCCTTCATCGGAAAATTATACTGTGCAAATAGTACAAAAACAAACTCTTTTTTTATAATATATAACTGTTGAATCCCCTTGACATAAGGGAAGACTCTAGTGTGTAAAGGGGTTCAAAAGATGCTTTAGGTCACAAGTTCAAATCCAACTTGTGTCATTCTAATTTATTTTTTTTAATACCTTCAGATGACGTCGAGCTACCTCCAGACGCTTCCGTCACCTTGATTGAATGTGCTCCTAATAAAAACTTAGGTCTTCAATATGAGAGGTTACTTGCCTCACATGTGTTGATCATTGATGAGGAAAAAGAAATACAGTCCTTTACGGATTTCATGATAACATTGGTTAGCTTAGTAATGTGGCTTTGTGTACTAGAGCTCATTCCTATAATTAATATTATGGTGCTACAATCAATTTATCCCAGAATTTATGTGAGAAACTGTGACATCAATCTTCTAAATTGAAATCAATTTCTCAAATTGTACGAAATCATCTTGAAGGACCTACAATCTCTTGAAGTCCATGCAGACCTAGTAAAATTAGGGCACAACGGAAGAAAAAGATCCTATTTTAGGAGCCTTTTAGTCCTATCGAAAATATAGAGAAATTCTAGTAACTTTCATTTTTTGTATAATATTTGACTGAGATAACTTTAAATGGAGTGACATGGTCAGTGAGTCGACCTGGACGTGCTTGGGGTAAAGCCGTTGCATTATACGAAATAATGCATAAACTTTGAGCTTTACTGCTGTTATTTAATCCCCTCAAGAGTTGATCTTGTTCTTATTTATGTTTCTTAAATATGTTTCCAGGAAGGTATGGTCAACCAGAAGAAGTTGCTGGAGTGGTGGAATTCTTGGCCATTAATCCAGCAGCAAATTATATCACTGGCCAGGTTTTACATTTTATAGCATTTACCACCTTGTTTATGTTACAATGTAATGTTTGAGGATCTTATTGTTTCAGTTATATGTTCTTGCAGGTTTTAACTATTGATGGTGGTATGGTGATGTAAGAGGTCTTTGGAAAAGTACAACAATTTGATACTTCTGTTTTTCAGCCAAATGAAGACTAATTACAGTTTTAGGCAAATGAACCAAGAATATTTTGAAATAAATTGATATTGGTTTTGAAATAGCCTTCTTCAACTTTTGTACTGAAAATGATTGCTGTTGGAACAGTTCTTTATGTAGCTGACATCAGAACTGTCTTTAGTTCAAGTGTCATTTTAAAACACAACATTATATCTGCCTAATACTGACAACCATTTCTTCTCCTTTTCTCTTCCATGAGATTTTGATTATAATTTTCTTCTAGTACCAAAGGTTGATATTTCTTTGGTGGTCACTTTTATACACACATATACATCGACTATCAACTGTGTATCCATTTTATGTTCAACATTTTCATTTGTTACTTTTTTTTTTTTGTGCTGACTGTCAATTTATCACAAATTTCCTCATTTTTCTGGATTTGGCACTAATTTTTCTCTTGGAAGCTCACATACAGTTCTCTTGGAGAAAAGGAATGCATAAACTACCATTAGAGAAATGTGGCAAATGAAGTGATGAATTGAAAATGTCAGTAACATGAGATTGAGAAATAGTGAAGCAACTTTTAGATATTACTCCACATGGAAATGTATTTTTTTCAAGTTTAAGTGTTTTTTTCTTTTTCCTGTTTCTTAAGCAAAATAAAGGAACTTCTAGCAGAACTTACCCTCCCCTCACCCCTTCATATGGTCATAGTTTTTTTGTTTTTCTTTTGTTATTTAAGTTGTACACACTGCATATATAAATATTTCTTATACCATCACTGCAATTAAATTGGTTATAGCAGGTTAGTATCTGATTTTCGAGATAACTATCTTAGATTTGATATGAAGAGTTATTTATTGGTATATGTCAACTCACTTGATGGTGCAAAAAATTCTATAAAATGTATTTTGTGTTGGAATATTCTCTCAGCACAAAGTATAACGTGTGGGAATAGGTTGTACGGAAGACAGAGAGATGTTTCTCTTTGGAAAGAATTTACTCTATTATTTACATCACATATTCACATTACCAATAATTGACTAGTACCAATTGGTATACAAAGTGCAAAAATTAGATTCTCACCAGTCATCAAGTGTTTCCCTTTCTTTTTCCTCATCACTAAAACTGTATCCTCTTCATCTTTTCTGTTATATAATCTAATCTTTCTTTGATATCCTGATGGAAACTTTGACAATCTTGGAGTCAAATCTTGTTGGATTCACTCTTGTATTTTCTATCATATATCTGTTTGGATACTTGATCATATTCAAAGATTGGAAAGAAAAAGTGAGGTCTGATGCATCAAGTTGTATAATGTCTTTAGCTCATGGTACCCCTGCAGTAATCTTATCAATATACTCAATGTTACAAAATTCCCAAACTTCATTCCAAAATCTTGATTTTTCCACCCAAAACACACCATTCCAAGAAATGATACTTGAATACAGCATTGCTTACTTCTTAGCTGACCTTTTACATTACTTGGTCTTTTATCCAAGTGATGTGCTTTTCATTGCTCATCATTTGGCTACTCTTTATGTATTTTTTAACTTGTCGATTCGTCGTTCATCATGATGCAGCTACTCTTATTGGCCTTCTTTTTCTGGCTGAGATCACAAGTCCTTGCCAGAACACATGGAGTCTTGCTAGATATCGAAAGAACAATATCCCTATGGCTGCTAAATTATCACCAGTTTTTTATATGTTCTATAGTTTGGTTAGGGGGGTTATTGGACCCTTATTTGTTTACAAATGGAAAAGCAGATGGTGTGATTTCTAGGCCTATGTGGATTTCTTGGATGGTTGTGATTGTAAGTGCAATCTTGGTTAGTATTTTGTGGATTTCTAATCTTTGGATAGACTTTTTTAGAGAAAGACAGAGGAAGGAGTGGAAGAAATGTGATTAGGAGTAATTGATACAGAGGTTGTTGAGTTCAGATTCAAGGACTGAATCGAAGGATTTGAAAGTAGAATTTGTCTGCAGCTATAATTGGTGCTGAACTTATTATCTCATTAACTTGTGTAAATTATATTGTTAAATGACAAATCTTTTGTTTTCTTCTTTCTCATTTGGTTTCATGTACTTGCTTATTTTAGTCATCTTATTAGATTGTTCAAGTTCTTCGATGTCTATAAAACATAACAAAACCAAAAGGGAAGAAAATTCTAGCACCTTTCTTAGTTTATTGTTCTTTCTTCTTTTTTTCTTTTTCCTCCTTTACTTTTTCTTTAGTTTGCTTCTTGATTATTCCGATCTTGGGGGTTTGTGGTTTGTTATTTCTTTTTTTTTTGGGGGGTGGGGGCAGGGGTAGGATTTAATTTACTTGGAGTGTCTGCACTAACCATGGAGATGAAGTGAACGCGTATTAATGGCATATTCCCCCATTTGGAACATTGTTATCTTTAGCATATTGCTGAAAATGATGTAATTGATTGATACAGGCAGGCTTGGCTTGTGAATTGAAAAAAACCTGGTAGCATTTGTTTTGAAGTTTTCCAAAAATTGAGTTTTGAGTTTTTGGAAAATATTATTTGTTTGACCTATTTATGACAAAGAAACATACGGTTGAACTTTTCTTTTCTTATACGCAGTATGACTCGTTGCAAAAAGGAATCTCATATGGGGTTGGCTGACCACTTGAACTCAAAAGAGTTAAGCTTCCTCTCTCCTGCATCTCATAGCAGACAACCTTAGCAAATTTGTATTTCATTGTATAGAAAAGGATCCCGCCAGAAGATAATTAATTACCTACAACTAATAGACAGTGACAGAAGTTTTATGTTAAATTTTCTCTAACCCCCATGGACAAGGTAGCAGAACTTCTCCAAGTAGCTGAGATGCTATAATGAGCTAGACAGCTAACTTCCTAAATATTGACCTCAGACAGCAGCTGAACTTATAAGGTTGCGTAAGATGCTCTGACCAGCTATAACGACTTCCTTAATATCTAGACACTTGCTTCTGAATAATGGCAGCTGAACATCACCAACATAATAGATTCAGCCACAGCACACGTGTTTCTTGTGTTACTATCCACGAGAAGCCTTCAAGAGTGCAGTGTGCCCGAGTTCTTCATCGTCATGGTGATTTAGTTCTTAGTTCTATATACGAATAACTGAAGCACTTGACAAATCACAGCTTCCCTGGTAATTAAGCTCCACAAAGAAACCTCCTCCTTCTCCCCTTGAAAGTCGTCCAGGATTCACACAAATGGACTTTACTTCTTCCCCTTCACTTCTTTCTCCAAGGGAGATCACCTGCAGGCAGATGAAATTCTTAATAAATTGATTGTGTGAATATCTTCATGATCAAGCGCATTCATGTCTGTTTAGTTGCATTAGTTCCATATTGCTGAAATGATAGAAGCAAAGTTTTGGTGTGGAAATCAGCAAGTCATACTACCCTAACAAAATGAGCCAAGTCCGAGGGTAAGATGAGTATATCTGGGACAGTTGACATCTGAAGAGCTTCCGGAGCAAGAGAGAAATCAATGGGTATGCCTTCAGCTGGCGGATATAGAGGATAGAAGCTGTTGCATTTAGTTTGCAAAAAAGAAAAAGATTTAGCAAAAATTGGGTTAATTGAGCTTTCTGCATTAACAAGAGGAATTGCAAACAGTGCCAACTGAAACATGCCTGTGCTGGTTTAATATATGGTTTGCAAGAGTTGTCATTCGTTGCTTTGATCCCCCTTGTGGATTTCGTGAAATCTCCTCCGCACTAAGCTGTTTAAGAACATCCACTGTACAGCAAGCCACTTTCACCTGAAATAAAAATATCAAGAGCTGTCGTAGCATGGAGAAATTCCCTTCCACTGGGGGCAAGGCCGCAAGAGGTAAAAATAATCTCAGAACTGTTTTCTACGATTGACGTTTAGTATTGATTAAAGGTGTTAATCGGCCCGGCCCGGCCCACTAACAACCCGGTTTGACCCCGGTCAGCCCGGTTTGGTAAGGGATGGGATGGGTTGGCTAGGGTAGGGGGTTGTGCCGGACGGGGTCGGGCCTTTTTTGGCTACCGGTGCACCAGAACCCGGCTAGCCCGCTAACCCATTCAAGGGTTTTAACCGTATTCCAGCCCGGTCCAACCCAGTATAAGTTGTAAATTTTTTATTTTTTTAAATTCTGACGGGCTGTTTTTTCCCATGTCCAGCCCGATCCAGCCCGTCAGGTAAACACCCTTAGTATTGATGAGTCCCAACTTATTTTCACGTCATCCACAATTCAATTTGTACAGTCTAGACACATGCAGTCAGCAGCGACAGATAAAACATTCCAACGAGTTTTCCAAGACCTTTTCAGCATAATTATCAGTGAAAACGAAAAGAAAGGCATGTAATAGTTAAGAAAACATAAGGAATAGAGTTGCTGGACATATCATCAGCTTCTACCTCATTTGCACAGAATACTCCAGGATTTGTAATGCTATTTATCTGGTAACATACAATATCGTTGTCAGTAATGGTACATGATCATCCCAGACTAAGCCTTCTCTAGTAATAATTTGACCTATGGCAGTTCACTGCATACCTGGTATTCAAGATCGGGTGACTGAATGTCAAAGGCTGGCTGTAAGCAACAAAATAATGTATCAATATTGTATATGACATAAGAGCCAAAAAAAGAAGACGATTAAGCTGTTGGAAGTGTTCACCTGAGGGTAAACAAAGTCATGGTTAGCATCTCGAACAGATGGAACAAGAATCACGCGAGCAGCAGAACCCATATATTCTACATAATCTCTCAACTGGAAACCAACCAATGGAAGGAAACTGAATAAACATTTAAAAGCCAGAACTTTCTTGGAAAAAGAAAAGAAGTTTTATATGCAGATACCCTCGCAAGAATTTCATCCTGAAAGATTTCATCAAATGTCCTATTCACGGTTCCTTTCTTGATCTCGGGATGATCCGAATCTATAAATGGTCCTAGCTGTCAAGAGAATTTACGAAGGCACAATGAAACTTATATATCAGCTAATAAAAAGAGTTACAACTTTTGCATGAGGGCTGTAAACTCATTACCAATATGATCAATTGAGGCTGCTTGCGTCGTGCATATGATAGAAGCTCGGCAAGAGGTTCGAAGAATAAGTTATCAACAGTTGTAAAAGGACCTGCAGCTATAATCTGTACAAGAACGTAAAATGTTGAGAAGGCACCAAAACAAAGTAAGAAAAAATACAGAAAGGATGGTATAATCCTTTGCTGCAGAAGAGAGATTGGTTGCACATCCAAAAGGCAGAACCGAAGGATAATGCCCTTCTCTTCATATACCCTATGCTCAGAGCTTCTAATTACACTCAAGTAAATAAACATACAAAGAAAAAGAAAAAAGGGGGCAAAACGTAGAACACACACCAAATTAAATGGATATGGAGCGCAGCAAAATCTGCAAACCAGAAGGCCACCTTATGGAAGGTAATATTCATCATATGACATACATAATAAATATGTCCAGAATTCCATTTACAAGCCTGCACGGGTTACCACCAATAATAAGGCAACAAATGTCTCTGGAAAACATTGCTTGTTGTCAAAAGGGGCCAAACTCCAGTAAAGGGTATTTCATATGTTATTACATAAAAGGTAAACAGAGTTGAAATGTCAGTATCCTTAAGTTTTTCGAACTGAGAAAGGCAGGCATGAGAGATGAAATCCAAAACCAAGGATACTTCTTGGTACAACAGGCATTTCATATAAATACATAAACAGATTTCTACCATTAGCAAGCCAAATACATGTATCTCACTCACTCTTATGTTTAATTTTGTGGTAGACTTATATGGAGTACAAGCTTACCCACCAATGACAGCTCTGGCATAGCACATGAGGCGTTGGTTGACTGAAGATCTTGATCCATTGCTTGCTTCTTAGTAGGTGGGAGATTTTCCGTGGAAGAAACCGACAAAGGAATGCGATCAACAATTTTTGATGCAATTAGACAGTGGCCACTTGGGTTATGCCCTTCAACACCAACCACCTGAGTATGAATTTTTGAGGTTTATTCTTTGTTCAACATTTTAAAGTACTAATAAAACAATACATGCATTACAATACCTGGCCAGGGAAAACAGAAAAGTGGTTCAAGTTTTGCAAGTCAAGGCGCACACGCTGACCTCCAGAATACTCAACGCTGTTAGCAACTAGATATCATCAACCATAGAGAGCAGCATATCCATGGAAAGACAAATTTACATAGCTTAATGGTGCCAAGATAGATGGAAAATTCTCTAGGATCTTCTGACATCTATCAGTCATGTCAATAATGTGTAAATAATCATTCAATGTCAAAGCTAGTCAAGATAACAATGCCAATATTTTCAAAAAGGAAGTGTTTGCAGCAATTTGGAGTGCCATGATCTACCATAGTTGGAGAGTAAGGAATTGGAGATTGTTTAGAGGAATATATCTAAATAGTGAGTTAGTGGTAACACAGATAAAGAAGTGATAGATAGAATTAGTACACTTAAAATGTCCAGGAAGATACATAGTTGTAGAGGTTATTTACAACATTTACTGTGTAATAAGTCTGTTTGGGCCTGGATTTCATAAACACCCCTCCTAGAAGGTGATTTTTGGAACTAGGTGCCCGTTAGCTTGTTATTCTTTTTGTTATCAATGGTAACATTCACAGTTGTTACCAACAATGCCAATATTCTTAATATGCTTCTAAGAATATAAATGTAACTATCAATCTATCATACTTCAACCACCACTGACTGACTTGATCTAGAGGAATAGAAGAGCACAGAATCCTCTAAATATGGAATACTTAAGAAGTGACTTGGTGATAAATGTAACCAGGATGGACCATCTGTAAACTGCGGAAGAACTTTGAGCCAACTCAATCCAAAATAAAGAGCTGATTTCTTCCAAGCAAAAGACTAATTATACATGCAGATAGCAGCTTTTTACCTGCTTTGCAGTAAAATAGGCTTTTCCTTCAAACGCCCTTCTTCCTCGCAACAAATCATCCCAACAGCAAATACAGATCTCTGAAACAAAATGATCCATAAAAGAGTTAAAATTATGTCACCTTGTCAAAATGGAAATCAAGATAGTAAGTGGAAAAGCACTTAATGTCAGACTTTTAGTACATAAAGTTGCACTTGCATTGTAGTGCAAAAACAGCAGAATGCCAGTGCAAATATGTGGAGTGGGAATCTCATACTTCAAAAGCAAAGATGTTACCTGTGAAGCAACAGTAGGATCAGTTGGTTCCTCATGCAATCCAGAGGCTACAAGTGCTGTCGCATGATCTTTTATTCGGCTTTCAAGAAAATTAAACTGAAAAAAAAAAAATTAGTAAGGACTTCGTAGTGGAAAAACCTAGGTATTCTACCTCTGTGAAATAGGAAGTACCTTATTTTCCATTCTGTCATACATGAACTTGCACCCTGGCTCAGGTTGAGAGCTAATGATTTGCAAAGAACATCTTTTGCTTGGTTGGACTCTCTTTATGATGTCATCATTGGGGTTCTCCTGATCGTGTTCTATATTCATACTTTCTTCATTGGCCTTCTCATTGAGAGAAAACTGCACCACAAACTTGTTCCTTCTTTGTCCAAAGGGTGTAATTGTTTCTAGATGCTTTCTGGAGGTGGAAATGCTCCCATTAGTTTTTTGTGCTGAAGCAGTTGTTTCTGCCTGTGATGACTTTTGTTTATCTGTTGGGGTACCTAGAATGATTTCCTTGGTATCCTCGTATTCATCATTCAATATCCTGTGTTGATATTTTTCAGCGTCAAGCATTGAGAAGTCACATATTTCAGTAACCTAGAGGAAATATCTAAATTTCACATTAGCGGCCACTTATAGCTGGACTCGCCATTGTTTTTAGGGTTAGTTAATAAAGTATAGAATCTTTGTTTTTGTTTCCCACTTCATAACAATTTGAAAGGGGGCAGATAGAGTTCAAAAAAGGTGGATAATAGCAGCTATTTTTACATCTAATATGAGCAAAACTATTTCTGTAAGATTTCCAGAATCACAGGCGCAAGAGATATAAAATATGAAAAGATTTTCCTGAAACAACAGAATGAGATATATTTGACCCCTGATCCGGAAAAGGCAAACTGCACGTTTGCCAGAAGGTTACTAATCATTATAAGTCAGCCCAGTTGAGACATGGAAATGGGAGGTTCAAGGATACTAAATTCAAAAAATTTAAATATACTCAGAAGGCTGAACTAGAGAATACACTCACATAGAAATATCACTGGAGTAGAAATGTAAACCAGGTTCCTTTTTAACAATGTCCTCTCTCCGTTCATTCTGTAATTGTTGTAGAAATGCACCCATATGTGAACTCTGCACCATCAATTCCAGCCCCCTGAAACAAATGGCCATCAAGTGGAACTCCAGGTTTGGATTTCAATTAAAATTCAGAGGAGTAAAATGCAATGCCACTTCAGTTCTTATCCAGAGGTGAGAAGAATATCAAAGAGTCAAACTTTAGGTATATCTAGAATAACAGAAAGAAAAATCAGGCTGGTTCAAGTTATTTGACCATCCATTTGTTGCTCCACAATATAAGTGTTTTTCCATTCTGCTTTTACTTTTCCTCAACATTGCCACCAACCAACTTACCAAAAGACTTTTTTATTTCCGAATTAAGTCATATCTGTAGGCCTAAGTAGTTACCAAGAAAATACTAAGTCTTTGCAATTTTAGCAGCATCTGATCTAATCAAAGATGATTCAATATCTTTTAATGAAAACAAGTATGGAATTTTACTATATTCTAACTAATTAATTTTAGAAGCTGAAAAACTGGAAGCCCAAAGTGTCTTAGTAATTTGAATATTCTAAAAAGAAATGGTTCTTTGTTTACTTTTCTTTTCATCCACTTAAACCTCCAAGTTTTTCACCATAGCTCAAGAAAGAGTCTTGGTTTCACTAGTATATGGCCACATATTTGACTTAGCTCTCATTTCCTTAGCACAACCCACACACACACACAAAAAAAAAAAAAAAAAAAAAAAAAAAAAAAAAAAAAAAAAAAAAAAAAAAAAAAAAAAAAAAAAAAAAAAGGAAATGTGAACTCGTTTAAGGTTAAGTCTTTAGTCTAATCATGCTTCAGTAACAGGTGGAGTTAATTAACAAGCAATGGGTTCTGATATGTAAATGTCCAGTAGAATTGGTATATACTATATACAAGAAAACCGAATACCACTGCTTCAAGAGGGCAGTGGGTGAACTCCAAACCCACTAACTCTACGTCCTGGATCTTCCCTATTCAGTAACTTTATTTAATAAATATTCAGTACTTATTTTTTTGTTTTCTTCTAGTTTACTAATTCGCTTGAGAAGCAAAATAAACTGAAATTTACACAAACACAAAAAAGAAAATTAGGACTTTTTTTTCACTAAAATTAGAATTGAGTGAGGTCTGACCTGTTGAGAGAGTAAACGTCCCAGCTAGAAACGAGATCGGAAGGGCTTAGGTTGTATTGTATACAGAATGTAAGACCTAATTATGACAGAAAACAAATCACGAAAATTAACCCTAATTCTCCATATATATAGGGAAAGAAAAACAAAAAAATCATATTTTTTTACTTACATTTGTTAAGAATTTCTGCTTCATCATCGAGAGCGAAGCCATTTTTCAGGAATTCAGCTTTGATTTGCTCTTCCATGGCGGTCGTTGGCTGGCCTAGGGTTAGGGTTTTCTTTTCTTCTCTTTTGCAAGAGGAATAACAACTTTAGCTAAGAGGGAAATGGCGGGAAAATCTTCCCTCCACTTCTACATTTTGTTAATTTATAGAGAGAGGAGAGGCTCATTTATTTCTTTTTTCTTTCTCAAATGAAATCTAACCAATTTATCAAATTTGAAAAAGTTGTGTGCGTCCGAATTATTATATGACACTGGTAAAATTATCCGCGCTTTGCTCGGTGCGTAAAACTTCATTAAATTTTAGAAATAATATTTTTAAAATTTTAGTTGAGAAAAAAAAATTTCAAGTAATTACATATAAAAAGTACTATGTTGATGAAATCACAAAAATAAATATCGGGATTAGAATTAAAGTTTACATTAAACTGCATTTTTCATTATCAGTCTTTCTAAAGACAAAATTAAAAAATATATTTAAAGAAAATCTTCACTTCTATATATGTATCCTTTGGGGTTTAATACATAATTATATTACTCTAATTATATAATTAATTCATATATTTATGTATCTATTTTTCTTCTTTCATATGATAGTAAAAGCTTTGTTTTTCTAGAAAATTCCTATTCAAATAACAGGAAAATGAAACCAAAGTAAATAAATCATAAACCCCAAAAAATAGTAAAAGAAATAAATGGGCAACATAATTGCATAATTTATCCATTGAATTGCATTTTTTATGTATTTCTTTTCATAATTTTTTCTTTAATAGCTTTTCTCTGTCTTTTTCTATTTATCAATCTCTCTTTAAATTCTCCCCCTCTATACTCAATTGAATTTTTCTTCGTTCCCTTTTCTCCCTCTTCGTGCAACTACTTTTTCTATATTTTCTTTGATTTTCTCCCTCTTTCCCACTGCTACTCTTTTCAATTTAACTCATTGTATTGAATTGTGACAATTGTTGTGGGGACACCTTTAATAGGGGAAGATAAAAAAAATAATTATATATAATTTAAAGCAAATATTTAACAAATCACCTTACAAGGTATATTTGTAAGGTGCTTGCTATCAACTATTGCAATATGAATCTTAAATTAATGACGCCAAACTTAACTACACGGAAAATCAACTATTGCAATATGAATCTTCTCTCTCGAATACTGTTTCCCTGCTCTAGCATTCATCTTCTCAGGAATTTGAGCCCATTTAAAATGCAGAGAATATGCAAGAAAATATGTATTCTAGTTAATGAGGTCGCCAAATCACCCGGTCAATATTCCAAAATTATAAAATAACTTGTTTGTAATGACCGAAAAGTATGTGTCTAAAATAATTATAAATACCTGTAAGTCTTATGTCTAAAATTAATCTACTCACATACTCTCTCAATTCACTTTTACTTGGCAGGTATATTAAAAATAGATTTTTATTTTTACTTATAAATTTTTTTTTTCTGTTATATCCATAGTATTTATTACTCATTTTAAATTATTTTCTCAAATCCAATAAAATATGCATCAATTAATATGGGTATCATGGAAAATTATGCACTTCATTTATTATTTCTCTTAAGGGGCGTGAAAAGTCAAAATGTGCCGAGTAAAAGTGAACGTAGGGAGTATATTAATAACTTCAATTATAGAATATAGATATTTGCAAAACTTACACAATAAGAAGGCAAACCAAAAATCAATGAAAGCTGCACCCATATTTTTTCGTTATAAACAAAAAATTAAAATCAAAAGATATAGTCCGAGAAGCACAACAATCTTTCGGGGGAAAAAATATTTAATAGGCCTTTTCTCCATACTACCGATTCTTCATAAACTTTCTTAATACGTTAACATAGTCTATTTACTTATCAGAAAAGAAAAAATAACCCCTTCATAGAGTTTGTTAAATCCAAGAGAAATAACGTTTTTAGACATCATAATCAATAGCCTTGTGTTAAATCGATCCCTTTATGACTTGCCTCTAAATTGTCAATCATTCATATTGGTTTGCATCTCTTTAATTTGTACTTCTCTGCATCCAAAAAAAAAAATTAAATCATAGAATTATGAAAAAGCAGAATATATAAAGAAAAGAAAATAGAGAACTTTGAAAGCGCAGAAGAAACCAATGCTATTCTGTTGAATCTTTAGTGCGCTTTAATGGGGACAAACAATTGTTAACGTCATAATCGATTGGCTTAATGACCCCTTAAAGCCCTTTTCGATTTTGTTAAACAGGGGAAGGGGAAAAGGCGTATACAAAATGTGGAAGAACCCCTTTTCGGTTTTGTTATGTGATTAACTATTCTGAAATGGTGTGTAATTAAGTGACAAGTCTTTTGGAAACGCATGGATATATTTGTAACTGAAAGAATTTGTTCCGTTACATCGTTTAGGAATAAGTCTTTAACGGGTAAATAAGGGGAAAATGGAAAAATAAGGGAAACTACCAAATAAATGAGAAAAAAAGATAAATAGTAATCCTATCTCAAGAGAGGTGTCATGTCAACATTCTTTGGCCTTCCTTTTTCTTTTATATATATAGAGAGAGAGATTTATGAGAAGTTTTTGATGATTCATATGCTTTTGATTAATTATTGGTACCAATCAAAGTCATGTGTTTGTGCTTAAAATGGACTTTTTGACCTTGTATGATGTTGGTGCTCTATTGAGTTGATTACTTGGAAGGAGATTTTATACTTTGATTGCTTGAGGACAAGCAATAGTTTAAGTTTGGGAGTTTGATAAGTTGGTATTTTACCAACTTATCTCTTTTTTAATATAAGATTTTTTCTATGTTTAATTGATAAAATAGTGTATTCAATGTAGTTTACTTCTATTTTACATGTTTATGTGATTTAGAATTTATCGGGAAAGAAACCAAGTGAAAACAAGTCAAAAAGAAGAAATCTGGAAAATGGCCTCAGATATCACAAATGCGAGTAGGAGCTCGCAAATGCAAAGTCTCAGTTAAGATAGTAGAAGTCGCAAATGTGATGGTAGGATCGCAAATACAAAGTCAACCTTCGCAAATGTGAACCCCTTCATCGCAAATGCGAAAACGAGTGAACAAGGCCTAGTTCGCAAAAACGAACATCCGAATCTCAAATGCGATGGTCAACAGTAGAGTCGAGGTTCGCAAATGTGAAACTTCCTTCGCATTTGTGAATAATAGGCTTCAGTTCTGGGTAGTGGTGTAATTTCATATTTTTGGCCCCAAACCCTTTAATAGACGACCTAGCCTATTTGGGTAGGGATCTTTCGCAGTCTTTGAGTAAAAAATACAAGTTTTGGAGCTATGGTTCTCGCCTACACACTTGGATTTTGAAGATTTGAAGACTTTGGTTGAGAATTTCTTCCACATTTTTATTCAATTCTTCATTTTCTTACTTTGTATTGAATATCTAAGTGTGTAGTATTCATTCCATTACTTAAATCTTGTTTATGGGAATATTCATTATTAAAGCTTGGATGTATCGAATGATTTTTATTAATATTGAAGTGAGTTAATTGTTTCTTGAATTATTCTTGTTTTTTAATATTTTCAAAAGGATTAGCTAACCCTAGGACTCGCCCATTAACTTTGAATTAATCTTGAAAAAGGTAATTTGGGGTTGGAAAAGATTAATTAACAAGAACTTGAGGCGTTAACCCTCATTTTATAGATTCTACCTAGGGATAGAATTGAACTACTTGTAGCCACATCAGGTGCACTTAATCTCTTAATTGTTTTACAATTAGAAAGTCTTATTAGCCTTCAGAAGAAGATAATAAAGAATTAATATCTAAGGCTAATTAACATAAACTCGCTCATATTTGTAAAATCGTGAAATACATTGGATCGTTACTTGAGTGTAATTCCCCGTGTATCCATGCTCGTAGCCATTGATAATTTTACTTGCTTTATAGGTTAGTTTACATTTTTGCATTTAGACATAATATTTTCTCAAAACCATTATTAGTGTTTGGCTTAGCATAATAAGCGATAATTCTCTTACTTGCCTAATCGCCTTCATATTGTTCTTTGTGGGATTCGACCCCGACTCATAGTTGGGTATATTATATTATATGCGACCATGTCTGCTTACTCTTTGAGGAGTGGATTTGGACATCATCATCTGGACATAGGCAATCAACCACGTTGCTATGATTTTCTAGGGAGACCTGAGGCGTTGGCCTCTAATGTTGTGATCACAGGTATGGTTTCGGCCTATAGAGATGCTTCCATGTTGTTTAACCTGGGATATACTTATTCTTAGGTGTCATCATACTTTTCTCCTCATTTGAATATACCCCGTGGTTCTCTTGATAATCATGTGCATGTGTCTACACTTGTTGGTAATTCTATTGTGGTAGATCGTGTATCGGTCTTGTGTGGTCACTATTGGTGGTTATGATACTAGTGTTAATATCTTATTTCTTAGTATGTTGGACTTTGATATAATTTTGGGTATGGATTGGTTATCTCCATACCATGCTATCATTGATTATCAAGCTAAGGCCGTGACGTTGGCTATACCGGGGTTGCCGAGGTTGGAATGGAGAGGTACTTTTGGTCAACTCCTAGTAGGGTGATTTAATGTCTGAAGGCTCAACGAATGGTTGAGAAGAGAATTTTAACATATTTGGCTTTTGTTCAGGATGGTAGTGCTGATATTCCCACTGTTGATTCAGTTCTAGTAGTGAAGCAGTTTGAGGATGTGTTTCCTGCAGACCTACCGGCATGTCACCCGATAGGGATATTGATTTTGGTATTGATTTGGTGCCAGGAATGCAACCCATATCTATTCAACTGTATCGCATGACTCCATCGGAGTTGACGGAATTGAAAGAACAGTTGCAAGAGTTGTTGGATAAGAGATTTATCAGGCCTAGTGTTGTTTGTAAAGAAGAAGGATGAGTCTACGAGGATGTGTATTGACTATCGACAGTTGAATAAGGTTACCATCAAGAACAAGTATCCATTGTCGTGCATTGATGATTTATTTGATTAGTTTCAGGGTGTTAAAGTGTTCTCATAGATTGACTTGAGATCGGGGTATCGCCAATTGAATATTAGTGCTACGGATGCCCCTAAGAAGGTTTTCGAGACCCGTTATGGGCGCTATGAATTTTTGATGATGTCTTTTGGTTTGACTAATGCCCAACAACTTTCATGCATTTGATGAACATCGTGTTCCATCCTTATTTGGATTCTCTT